GGAGCCGCGCGTGACGGCGCCGCCGCCGCTCTCTCTTTCAGAACCCGGCGATGGCGACGCTGCGGACGGAGCCCAAGGCCCTGCCGCAGGCACCGCCTCCAGCCGCCCAGGAGCAGAGCCCTGCCCCCAACGCCAAAATGCAGCCGACTCCGCCCGTGTCAGCACCGGTCTCCAAGCCCAGCGGCCCCCCGTGCCCCATAGATCAGGACAGTCCCAGCGTGGAGAGCAAAGTGATGTCTGTGGGCAGCCCCGCCAACTCCACCCCCTTGCAGACGGAAGGATTCGGGCAGAGYTCGACTCCCAACAACCGAGCAGTTAGCCCCGTGTCCCAAGGTAGCAATAGCTCTGCTGCGGACCCCAAGGGTCCTCCCCAGCAGGTGTCTGGTGGGGACCCGTCCACTTTGGGTGAGAATCCGGATGGACTGTCGCAGGAGCAGCTGGAGCATCGGGAGCGCTCCTTGCAGACGCTGCGAGACATCCAGCGCATGCTCTTCCCCGATGAGAAGGAGTTTGCAGCAGGGCAGAGCGGGGGGCCGCCTCCGAATCCCGGGGTGCTGGATGGCCCCCAAAAGAAACCCGAAGGGCCGATCCAGGCCATGATGGCTCAATCCCAAAGTTTAGGCAAAGGGTCAGGGTCTCGGACAGACGGAGGGGCCCCCTTTGGCCCCCAGGGGCACAGGGAGATGCCCTTTTCCCCCGACGAAATGGGGCCGCCGCCCATGAACTCGCAGCCGGGACCCATAGGCCCAGACCATCTCGACCACATGACTCCTGAGCAGGTGGCCTGGCTCAAGCTGCAGCAGGAGTTCTACGAGGAGAAGAGGAGAAAGCAAGAGCAGGTTGTTGTGCAGCAGTGTTCCCTGCAGGACATGATGGTCCATCAGCACGGGCCTCGTGGGGTGGTGCGAGGGCCTCCCCCTCCCTACCAGATGACCCCTGGGGAGGGCTGGGGCCCTGGGGGCCCAGAGCCCTTCCCTGAAGGCATGAACATGTCCCACTCTCTGCCCCCCAGGGGCATGGCCCCTCACCCCAACATGCCCGGGAGCCAGATGCGCCTGCCTGGTTTTGCAGGAATGATGAACCCTGACATGGAGGGCCCCAGTGTCCCAAATCCCGCCTCCAGACCTGGGCTTTCGGGAGTTAGTTGGCCAGACGAAGTGCCAAAAATCCCAGACGGCCGAAACTTCCCTCCTGGCCAGGGCGTCTTCAGCGGCCCCGGCCGAGGGGAGCGATTCCCCAATCCGCAGGGCCTGCCCGAGGAGATCTATCAGCAGCAGTTGGCTGAGAAGCAGATGGGCCTCCCTCCTGGCCTGAACATGGAAGGCATCAGGCCTGGCATGGAGATAAACAGAATGATTCCCTCCCAGAGACACATGGAGCCCGGCAACAACCCCATCTTCCCTCGCATGCCGGTGGAAGGGCCGATGAGTCCTTCCAGGGGGGACTTCCCGAAAGGAATGCCCCCGCAAATGGGCTCTGGGAGGGACCTGGAGTTCGGGATGGGCCCCGGCGGCATGAAGGGCGACATGGGTATGAACGTCGGCATGGGCTCCAGCGCACCGCTGGTCCCTCAGAAGCTGAGGGAGGCGGCCGTGGGGCCCGAGGAGATGATGAAGCTGCGGCCCGCTGTGTCCGAGATGCTCTCCTCGCAGCAGAAAATGGTGCCGCTGCCCTTCGGAGAGCACCCGCCGCAGGAGTACGGCATGGCTCCCAGGCCCTTCCTTCCCATGTCTCAGGGCCCTGGAGTCGGTCTCCGCAATCTCAGAGAACAGATGGGGCCTGACCAAAGGACTAACAACCGGCTCAGCCACATGCCGCCACTACCTCTCAACCCCAGCAGTAACCCCAACAGCCTCAACGCTGCTCCCCCTGCGCAGCGCGGCCTGGGCCGCAAGCCCCTGGATATCTCCGCGGCCGGCCAGGTGCACTCGCCGGGAATCAACCCCCTCAAGTCCCCCACCATGCGCCAGGTGCAGTCTCCCATGATGGGGTCTCCCTCGGGGAACCTCAAGTCTCCGCAGACGCCCTCGCAGCTCGCCGGGATGCTGGCAGGCCCCACCGCCGCGGCCGCCGCTGCCTCCATTAAGTCCCCCCCGGTTCTGGGGTCTGCTGCTGCTTCTCCTGTCCACCTCAAGTCTCCGTCTCTCCCTGCACCTTCTCCTGGCTGGACGTCGTCTCCCAAGCCCCCTTTGCAGAGCCCTGGGATTCCCCCGAACCACAAGGCGTCTCTCACCATGTCTTCTCCAGCCATGCTGGGGAATGTGGAGTCAGGTCAGTGCCTCCTCACGTACCCTTGGGGTCTCTGGTTCGTGGCGGGCGCTGTGAAGGGTGCGGGAGGGCCAGGAGGTTGGAGGGAGATGGTGCAGCAGAGCCCCACAGCCCTTCCTCTGCCTGCCCCCGAGGCCGGCAGAGCTGGGGCTCAGAGCTCAGGGCCTGTGTTGGCAGCATCTGAGTGGCTTTCTTCCTTCTTTGGTGCTTGGGTGCTGTGATAGCTCCCTAGCATCCAGGTGAGGGTGGTCTGGAGGCAGCCAAGTAGGAGGTGTTCCTCAGAGTGGTTCTTCCCGGCGGTTCTGCCTGTAGCTCCTGACCACTGTAGCATCATGGAGAGGTGTCTGCTTGTGTCACGGAAGCGCCTTGGGACCGGGCTGCGTCCTGGGACCTTGGCGTGCGAGCCTGGGCCTGAGAGCGTGCGCAGCTGGATTTGACTCCCGCCGGGCTACTTGGCCTGTCGGCAGCACGGGTCTCCCTCTCCCAAATACTCCCGAGGCCTGTAAGGGAGGAAGCTCCGACTGCAGCATCCTGCTGGAGCTTTCCGACCCGGGGGAGGCTGCTGGGGGACTTGGCCAGAGGCCGCTGCAGAGCTTTGCCCACGTTGCCCTCTAGTGCCACTGTGAGCCCAAACTGCTGAAAGTCTGAACTGAACGCCTTAGTCCCTGCCTAAGGCTGTGCTTCAAAGTTGCTTTCCAAAGCTCTTCCAAAGGAGCAGTATTTGGGGCCTGAGGGGTTTTGTCTTCTCCATTTCTGGGGTTTGGGAATGCAGTGCAATGGGTTTTGAGTGTCAGTACAACTTGAGTTTAGCACCTTTCCTTCAGGTGAGTTCAAGAAGCATGAAATTCATCGTTGAAAAGCAAACGAGATTGGAAGTACAGTTAAGTTATTTCTAGTTTGGGGAGGGCAAAGAATTATAGTAATGTAATAGGCACAGAGAATGCTTAACTGGAATGAACAGTAAATATGTGAGCGTAAAAGTTGAATGAAGTTGAAACGAGGGATTTTACTTGTGGCTGCTGATGCAGCTTATCAGAAATCTGCCCACATCTCAGCATAAAACTCTACAGCTTTTCACACGCAGCCAGTGTCTTCTGTGCATGTTCGGTTCTTCCCCAAAAGAAAAAGGGAAAGGAGTTAAAGTTTACGTTGGCTGGGTGCAAGAAAAATTGATTGACCTAGATTTGGATTTTTTATACCTAGACCTCATGAATAAGTCTGTCTCCAGTGAATGGAAGTTGAATAGGAGGGTTGAATAGTACAGTTGYCAGCCTGTGGATTTGTACAGGCTCAAGGTAGTTCCAGTAGAAGTAGAGAATCCAGAGTGTAACACACACTAACCAGCTGGAGCAACAAGCTTATCTTTGTGGTTTACCTTTCACAGGCATTGACTGCAGTAGGTAGATTATCTCTTGTGATAAAAGGGGTTTCTAGTTATTGAGACTTGTAGGAGAAAAGGGTGTGATTGAGAAAGAAACTTCCAGATGTAAAAAAAATACATATTTTTATTTTTATTTTTATTATTATTATTATTATTATTATTATTATTATTATTATTATTATTATTATTATTATTATTATTATTTTTAATCTTAAGGTGGTCCACCTCCTTCCACAGTCAGCCAGTCTGCTCCTGCGACTCTCCCTGGAAACCTTCCCTCTAGCAGTCCTTACACGATGCCTCCAGAGCCGACCCTTTCTCAGAATCCTCTCTCCATAATGATGTCCAGGATGTCCAAATTTGCCATGCCCAGCTCTACGCCGCTCTATCATGATGCCATCAAAACTGTGGCCAGTTCAGACGATGACTCCCCTCCAGCACGATCCCCAAACTTGCCACCTATGAACAGTGTACCAGGTGAGAAGCTCGAGGGAGCCAAGTTTCCTTTGTGTGGTCCAAGTTACCAGCCGATGGCAGTGAGAGTGATTTTCATGGAAGCTTCGTCAGATGAAGAGCATAAAAAATAAATAACGAAACACTGTCTTCTCAGGTTGTCTTATGGGTGAACATGTTTATATGAGAAATCCTTGTTGATTGCTTACTGTTCATGAGCACATGCATATTTAATAATAAAAATGGTTGTCCCTGTGTGCCAGTTCAGTTAGCATAATTGAAAGAAGGGATGACTGGATGTTTCATTACAGTGGCAATTGGTAGGGATTCGCGATGAGTTTACTTGTAGGTTCCCTGCCCGTCGCGCAAAGTGGTGACCAGAGTTGCTGAGTAGACCTGGAGAAGCTTGTTAATTGAACAAGCTGGCGGTGATAGCTCATTAACCTCAGCGATCACGTCCTGGTCTCGTGAGGGTTTCCTGATTCATGCGTTTCATCAGTTTTGACGGGCGATTCAGTCACCTCCCGGTGGACAAGCAAGTGTCCCTACGCCGCTGATCCGCAGCCGCCGTGGTTGTCACCGCCTGCGTGGCCGAGGCTGCCGGGGGAGTGCTGGGAGCAGGGGTCGCACAGCACCCTGCCTCCAGAGCAGCCTTTGGGTGCCTTGTGATGGGGCAGTGACAGCCGAGGGTGGCTGCTCTGCAGCAGCATCCGTTTGCTGGGTAATATGGTGGTCTCCAGGCTGACACCTTTCTACAAGTGCTGTTGTTTTGTGGGGTTGGGAGTATTGCAGAAAGCTCTTTGGTGTCTTTGTCACTTTTATGGGCTCTTATCTAAACCTAACTCTTTTTTTTTTACCCCCTAGGAATGGGCATTAATTCTCAGAATCCTCGAATTTCAGGTCCAAACCCAGTGGGTCCAATGCCAACCCTCAGCCCAATGGGAATGACCCAGCCTCTTTCCCATAACAACCAGATGCCCTCTCCGAACGCTATGGGACCCAATATACCTCCTCACGGGGTCCCCGTGGGACCCGGCCTGATGTCACACAACCCGATGATGGGGCACGGTTCCCAAGAGTCTCCGATGGTACCTCAAGGACGCCTGGGCTTCCCACAGGGGTTCCCTCCCGTACAGTCCCCTCCACAGCAGGTGCCATTTCCACACAACGGGCCCAGCGGAGGACAAGGCAACTTCCCGGCGGGAATGGGCTTCCATGGCGAAGGACCTCTGGGGCGCCCCACCAACCTGCCCCAAAGTTCGACAGATCCAGCACTTTGCAAGACTGGAGGCCCTGGCGGTCCGGACTCCTTCACCGTCCTGGGCAACAACATGCCTTCGGTTTTCGCCGATCCGGAGCTGCAGGAGGTGATCCGCCCCGGAGCCACGGGCATCCCCGAGTTTGACCTCTCCCGGATTATCCCGTCGGAGAAGCCGAGCCAGACGCTGCAGTATTTCCCTCGCGGGGAGGTGCCGGGCCGCAAGCAGCCGCAGGGCCCGGGGCCCGGCTTCTCCCACATGCAAGGGATGATCGGAGAGCAGCCGCCGCCGCCGCGGATGGGACTGGCGCTGCCCGGCATGGGCGGCCCCGGGCCTGTGGGCACGCCGGAGCTGCCCCTGGGCACGGCGCCCTCCATGCCGGGCCACGGCGCCATGCGGGCGCCCGCCTTCCTGCAGCAGGGCATGATGGGCCCGCACCACCGCATGATGTCGCCGGCGCAGGCGGCCATGCCGGGGCAGCCGGCGCTCATGAGCAACCCCGTGGCGGCCGTGGGCATGATGGCGGGCAAGGAGCGGCCGCCCGCCGGCCTCTACAGCCACCCGGGCCCCGTGGGCTCCCCCGGCATGATGATGTCCATGCAGGGCATGATGGGACCCCAACAGAACATCATGATCCCGCCGCAGATGAGACCCCGCGGCATGGCCGCTGACGTGGGCATGGGAGGCTTTAGCCAAGGCCCCGGGAACCCGGGGAACATGATGTTTTAAGCTGCTACCCTTGAGACTGGATGTCGCGATCCGTGTCGAGATGAGATTCCGAGTCCTGGGGGCTTTCTCGGGAGCTCCAGGAGTACAGTTTGGCCATGCAATAGGTGAACAGAGACCAGAGGACGCTTTGGGAAATCTCGAATGTATGGAATTACCTGAAAAAAAAAAAAAAAAAGAATATTCATTTTAACAGGTTGGATTTTTTTGTTTGTTTTGTTTTGTTTTTTTTTTAAGATTTATTTTTTAAAAATTATTTTTGTGGACTTGGGTATCCCGTGACGGCACCTGCTTTGAGAATCTGTAGCTGTATTTTGAGAATTGCCATTTGTCACAAGTTGCACCATTCTCTGTATGTTTACGTCCTTCGGACTGGCTTCTCACAGGACTTTTGGTTAATTTTTTTCGTTGGTTTTTTTTTTTTTTTTTTTTGTGTACTGTACTATATTGTAAAAGGGATTTTAGCAGAGACTTTAGTCTTTGGGGTGAGAGGAGAATGGGATTCTAGGCTGTTTACTTTAGGTGGAGAATCCATCTTCAGAACTTCGGACTATTTTCCTTCAACTCCAATGTATAGAAAAACCAAACTACGACCTCAGAGCAGAGTATTAATGAAAAGCACAAAAAGGAACTTAAGTTCAGTGAGGGGAATCTTTTAAAAGAAATAAATAATAAGTTAAGGACATATTTTTCAAATTATGGCGTGCTGTCCAGCACCTTCTGTCTCTCCCTCCCACTCTTTATTAAATAGGCTTCTCTCTCTCCGTCCCCYGTCTGTCTCCTCCTATGGCAGCTGCAATACGTTGTGTTATTTTGGGGCATAAATCTAGGAGAGCCTCTCCTCAYGTGGGGACTCTTCCCACTTTCAGGAAGGGGCTGGACTCGGACACTGTTACGTTCTACAGTAGTCTCTCTCACTGTTTCCTATTCTCCTTTTCTTAGAAACCCCAAGTGATTTTATTAATGTGGGAGTGGAACAGACACTAAAAGTTATCCAGGATTTTTTTTGTGGTTATTTTTTTTTCTTCCCCAGCGTAAAACGTTCTGTGTAACCTCCATTAAATTTGGTACAAAACCACTCGCCAGGGCTGTGGTGTCAGAAAAATAAAATATATTGTTTCTTACAAAAACGAGCTGTCTTTCTTACCCAACTCAGCTGTGTTTCATGTACACGAGAGGGGCGGCTGGATGCCTGTTTGCTCTCCCACGTGGTCACAGCCGGTCTGGAGGTGGGATGAGCCTTGGCCGTGCCTAAAGATCTGCTCCGTGGGCAGCTGAGTGCTCCTTGCAGGACCCTCCTGGTTGCTTTCTCTTCTCCTGAGAACAGCCTGCTTTTCCTTGGAAAACCTCAAGGATGGTGGCTGCGGTCCTGTGCCCTCCATTTAGAGAGGGTCAAGGAGCAGAGAGAGCAACTCGCTGTCTCTGTCGCTTCCTCCTGGTGAGTTTTTGTGGCACTTCCAGGTAGGCGGTTTGGAGCTTTCCCTGCTCCTGCTGAGCACTGGAGACTCTTAATGCTGCAGAAGACGTTGGGTTGAGTGTTGCCCTTGGGGTGTTGGACTGGATAGAGTCTCTGACTTCAGTTGCTCCGAGGCTGAGATAGTGGCGACTGGATGAAGTTAAATAACAAAGGTGAGAGATAGATAAATCATTGCTGAGCAGATTTTTATCAAGACAACCCTGCTGGGTAAATTGTTGCTTTACGGCGATTCTCAYTGATCGCTTCCTAATCCTCTGTCTGTCTTTTCAAACTTCTCTTTTGAGAGAATTTCAACAAGCAAGTTTTAAGGCTTTGTCTAGGAGCAGTGGAAGACCAGGCACTAAAACGCCGGCTGAGTTGAGCACCACTCCTGGAGAAGACAAGGAGGTGYTGGAAGAAGATCCTTAGGGAAGGCAGCGGGTTCTGAAGCCGTCTGCTGAGGCAGGTAGCAATTCRTGTGCTCTCTGCCCCTGCCCTGCCCCAGCACTGTACATGGAAAATGCGATCTGCTTCCCCCTTACCTCGATTTGAATCTGCTTCAGTGAGTAGTTAACTCGCTCAAGGGCAGGCTGTTGGTGGGAAACTTCACGTGGAGAATGAGTATCTTCAAAGCACTTGTGCATCTGGGTTGTCAGACTTACCTGCTGTGGAACAGGTGGGAAAAGAACCATTGTCCGTGGCGGGTCCCCCAAAGCTGAGTGGCTGGAGATTCAACAGGAGCCAACCCGGGTACCTCTGCAGGCACACGGTGCTCAGCGGGTTCCGGCGGCTGTTTCCAAATTCACCTTTGTGCTGTCATGCAAATTTAAAATGATTTTGGGTGAGAATTACTCTTTTGACAAAGTGTGGGATGTATGTTTTGGTGCTTCCCTCTAACGAGACAAGTAGTGCGCCTGAAGCACTTGTCAGGATTTTAGAAAGAGATGACAGTGACACAGTAAGTGCCATTCCCGTGCTGTGGAGTTACCTCTTCTTTAAATGGTTCTATAGCTTCCTTTTGGGGATCTTGCACTGGAGCTGTCACCATGCAATCTTTTTAAGTGATACCGTTTCTGCCATATGAGTCCTAAATATTTTTATAATGTTGAATAAAGTAAACTTCTTGACTGGCATAGAAATAACTTGGATTTTTTTAAAAAATGATCTTCCTCAGTGAGTCCTATGCCTGCTGAGGTATTCTGAATAGCAAGGGATTCCAGAGGGGACAGTGGCTTAATCTAGGAAAAGAACCAGCCTAAAAACCAGCCAGGTTCATTGTTTCAAAGCTGCTTAACTGTGAGAGGAGATGTTTAAGCTGTCAGGTAAATAAAGCTTCTTCTGTGTCCATCTAATATRCAATTTTGTCATTTGATATCTTAAAAAGATCTTTTCCTATAGAAAATGCAGAAGTCTTGGGTTCTCCCGAGTCCATACAGGTCYGCTTACCCTCTGTGCCGTTACCTGATTTCCCCCTGGATAATTGACAAGAGGTTCTCATGCTTCAGCTGGCTCTGGTCTGAAGATCGTCCTGGTGGGTATAGACAGAGCTGCTTTGTTTTGCTGCGGTTCTGTTTTCCCTTTTCCACTTCGCAAATGAAAAATCTTTCTAGCTGCCAGCCTTGCAAATTTACCTTGGGATCTGTAAGTCAGGCTCTGTTCTCTCCTGCTTATTTATAATCAATAGTAACTGTGACTCAGCTCTGGTAGTCATGGTGCAGGCGAAGATGGAAACGGGGGTTGCCATTTTTAGTTTTCTTCCCCTTTTTTTTTCTTATTTAACTTTCAAATTCTCCTCCTCCACCTTTGTTTGAAAGAATGAAGTAGACTTTATTCATACATGCTTGGCTGCTCTTCCTCTCTAGTAACATGGGAGGAAACAGTCTGCTGTTCAAATTATCTCATCCCAGATGGCTGCGCAGCCGGAGCGCAGAGAGACTTAAAAGGTAGACCCAGCAGATGGTGAACTTCTGAAAGGCAGAAGTAACGCGGTGCCTAAATCAAAAGTTAAAGTATTTGAAATCTGCTTGTTTTAAAGTAGTAGGTTGTTGCAAACTGGTCATCTGTGAAGTACACTAGCAGTTTTAAGCACAATCCCCTAAATTTTTTGCTTTCAGCAGGGCACCTGTCTACCAAATCATAGAATCACAGAATGCCCAAGGTTGTTGTGCAAGTCAAGAATGCCCTTCGGACCTCAGAGGTCATCTAGTCCAACCCCCCTGCTCACACAGGGTCACCTAGAGCACGTGGCACAGGGCTGCAGCCAAGCGGGTTTTAAAGATCTCCAAAGAAGGAGATCTTTCTTCCAAAGAACATGGCAAGCAACTAACCAGTCTCGGTTTCGTGCTCCTGGTGGTACTGGTGGGTGAGACAAGACCAGCACATGGAGATGGGATCTGCCTCAGCCTTGTTTGGGACTGGGGTGTGGGGCCCTTGGGGCCCCAAAAGCCCGTGTCCCCACTGGGAGAAGGCGCCGGCAACTGAACCCAGCCCGAGGATGGGTGGGAGTCACCAACTTGGACACGCCTGGGGCTGTTGGAGCTTGATRCTTGTGGTGATGAAGTGTTCGGGCCGTTACCAACACGCTGTGTACAGGACTTAAATTTGTGGTGCTTGGTACGTTGATTGCCTATTATGCTGGTTTTCATTCTGATGGCAGGAAAATCTACATTTGATTAGTGATTTTTTTTCCCTCTCTCTCAGCTCTTGTGGGTCTGAATGCTTTCCTTACRCACTCTTGGCAGGCTGTTTGCTGAAACCTGCTCCCAGCTCCAACATTTCTTGAGGAGAGATGGTCCCTGTTCAGTACAGGTCTGTGTTTGGTGGAGCATGCCTCGCTGTATCAACTTGGTAATAATTGTCAAGCTAAAAAAGGTATTTTCTATCTTATTTCTGCGCTGGGTGTGTCATTCTGGTGTGGTGACCTCTTACTGAAAGATCTTTCAGTCTTTTGCCAATTCACATAGTTTCCAATTGTTTCTGCTAACGCTGGTTGTTGTGGTAGATACGTAACACTTTGTTATTGCTGTTTCTATTTAAAATTGAAGCGTGTCATCTGGAGTGTTTCTCAGCCCTTAAAAAACCCCAAGCCCCAACTGCTCAGCTGTGTTGGAGCTATTGAGAAACGGTAACAAGCTCGGTATCCTCTTGATGCCCAAGTTGGCAGCCCCTCGGCACCACGTTCATGGTGCTTCACGAGGAGATCTGCTTCCTCGCTGGGGCGGATTACTGCACACTCAGGCTTTAACCTTGCAGTTGTTTTTACCTTGAGTCAGAGCATGAGTGAGGAGAGAAAGGAAATGGGGTTTTAACTGGGATGCTGGAAACTCTAAAGATATTTTACATTAGGGGAAAATAAGTTTTTGAGTTTTGAGAATTTGAGTTGACATCTTTTCTCCTCATCACATAGTGAACCACTGTTGCCCTAAAACATCAAGTTTATGAGGGAACCTGGGGTTGAATTTCTTAGCTGATTTGGGAAGTTCTTGCATTAACAACCCTGGGACAGCTGGGTCCCCCCCTTCCTTGTCATCTCAGTTTTGCCATTTTTCAAGTTTTGGGTGAGAGCAGACCTATTCCTATGTAGATTCATTGGAATGTTGGTTTCTTGAACTATTTCTTTCATGTTGTCAAAAATGCCTCAACCCTTCCGTAGGGTATTTGCTGTTTGRCTCTTGCCACTGAGCTCTTTGCTCTTAAAACTCTTCCCTGGTCCCAGCAACCCCCTTTTGAAACGGTCCTTTCCAGCTGGTTTGGTCAGAAACACCTCGTRGGTGGCACCTTGGGCCCCGCGGCTTCGCAGCTGCCCTGTAGCATTAGAGCAAGGCAGGGCCCAGGTCGCTTCCCAAGGAGGGGATGGGRAAGGGCCGGCATGGGGAAGGCCCAGGTGTGAGGGACGGGCAGCAGCCCCTGTGCGAGACAACCAYGAGGTCACGGCTCCCAAGGAGGCGTCTTCCTCAGCACTGCCGGCAAGGAGCAGCCCTGTCTACGGAGGCTTTCCCCTCTCTGCAAGGTGTGATTCCTGCCTGGAGCTATTGGATTATTTCAATGGTGTGAACGCAGCGCCCTTTCATAAGCTGCCGCGCRCTCGGAGCAGCCTGTGGTGTCGAGATCTGTGGATCTTAAGGTTGTGTTACCGTTTTTCACATGTTTGCTGTTCCATTTGCTGGGCTACGTTCTTGCACCTCCTGCTTTAGGAGAAGGTGCACGCAGTCCTGTTTTGGCTACTGATGTGGCCAAGGCTTTTGGTGACATTCCCTGACGTGCTRGTTCCTAAGCAGTCCGTGTCTGTCAGGAGTCATTCGCTATCACATACCAAATGTTTCCATCACTCTTCTGCAAATTCGCTATAACGTGTTTAAGAGCGAGAGATTAGAGCAGAACACACTGTTCTTAAGCAAGGGTAGGCCATTGATTTTTTATATAACAACATTATGTTTTTAGGCTGTATAAGGAATTTGATGGAAAATAACAACATTTTGTTTGCTTTCTTGACAGCTTCTAACAGCAGTTCACTGAGATTTCCATTCACCCTACTAAATACAGCAAAGTCTTTAGTATTCAAATTATTCTGCTCACTGTACGTGCTGTCAACGTGTAATTTTGGTGGGAGCAGCCTAAAGAAAGAGCAGAGCTAAACGCAGCCCGCACTTCTCGGGCAGAAGGTTGTCTAGCACCTCCATTCCCATGTCCGTCAGTGCCACATCAATGTCACTGCACTCTGCTTTCCTGGGGTCAGAACAGGGAGCCCCACCAAAACCGCAGGATCATTTCACTAAGTGGTACCCCTGCTGTAGTCTTTGCATACCCCCGAAGAAAGGGCGTTGGGCCCTGCCTTTTACTCACTAGTGGTTTTTTATTTGGTTGGATTTTAGCATTTTTAGGTACATAGTYACCCTTCATACTGTTTTAGAGGGAAAAGTGGCTACAAGAACCAGCAGCACCAGTGCCGGCTGTGCTGGTCCCTTCCCAGTGCTGTACCAGCACGTGCAGAATAGATGCAGCGCTGCCCAAARCGGGTGTCAGGAGCAGCTGCCTGGGTTTCCCTGTCTCAAGTGCATTAAGCCGGGCTCACCAGGAACGTGGGCTCCTGTGCTTGGCCCGCGGGGGTGGTTTTTGCATCTTCACATACTCACAGCMGAATTCCCTTATGTACGGGAATGCAGGGAAGAGATTTGGAGTCTTTTTGTACGCACAGAAGTGCCCTCAAGTCGATGGAGCAGCTAAATGCAAGCAATTTGGGAGGATAATCTCCCTGTAGAGCAACTCTAGAACATGAAGAAAGGGAAAAGGGCAGTGGTTTCTGCAGATTTCCAAGGATAAAAGCAGATGTCAAAGGCCTTAGGTCTGGCAGCCCAGACTTCATCCCACATTCCCAGGGTGGGAGTTTGCTCTCGTACCCTGAACCAGCAGGGCAGCTCAAACAGGCCTCTCCTCTCTCCCACTGCTTCCAGCCTCTCCCTTCCTTTGTAGGGCTACCCAGAAGTGAACTCCAGCCATTCTGCTAGTGGCTTCTTTTATCTTGCTGCTGACAGCCAAGAGAAACACTGTGCCACAGCCTGGTAGGGACCAGTCTCCTCGTCTAAATTAACTTGGAATGGGGAAGGCTGGGAAGAATTTAAAAATAAATAAATAACAGAGAAAGAAGAGTAGTCAAAGGTTGTGACAATAAGTTTWATTTAAGATAACTACTTATGAGTCACTTGGCTGATTCTGCTCCACTTGGGAGCACAGGTTATTGTACTCCTCTGGACTGACGGCGTATTGTGAAAGAACTTGTAGGAATTCTTCGAGTGGACAGAGACCAGCTCTACATCCTTTCACCACTTGTTCCTGCAAAGGCAAAGAGACAATAAATCACATTTCCTGCACCTGGCCATTTTCATTGTTGCTAACGATGCGTCCTGCAGCGGGGAACTAGGCGAGTCGAGGCGAGCACGGAGGCCGACGTTAAAGGCTTCTCGCCTGAAGCTCGCGCTAGGTCYGCCGCCAGATGAGGGTGTCCCGGCTGGCAGGCACGGGCTGCAGCGTCTCACCGCGTTACCTGCCGCCCCGCAGCAGCCTCGCTGCGGGTCTCGTGTCAAACRCAAGGCAGAGCCCAACGGCCCTAACGCGTGTGATGAACTTCCTGGGGCTCTGTTCTTACCTCCCCGTGGTAGGACAGGCGAACAAACCACTCCTTAGACTGCTGGTGCTGATACAGCTCCAGGGTCACGTCCGCAGCGTAAGGCGGCCACTTGTGATCAAAGGTGCCCAGGGCCACCAGCAGAGGAATGAGGGTAACGTCATGAGAAGCGTAGAGAATGAGCTTCCTGATTAAAAAAGGGAAGGGAAAAAATCCTCAAAATGGTACCTGTGTTCCCCATGGATAGGCAGTATCCCTCATGCTTTTTCTATCGGCTAAGGATTCCTTCTCTTTACCCACACATTCAACATCCTTCTGAACTAGCTCTTCATGCTGACAGCAAGTCAGAATTTATAACGATTAGAAGATGAGATCTGCCCTGTACCTGGCCTCTCCAGCTGGAGATAAGGGATCTGTTGCTTCCGTAATGTTCTTCTGTAAGGTATAGAAAAGGAGACCAACACTCATCTGAAGGACTTCTCTATAAAAGAGGTAGAAATAAATCTTTAAAAAAAAAACAAAAAACAAAACCCCTCAAATTAGGTAGTTTCAGGTGAACACCTGGGAACCTTCTTTTCTCTTGCAAATTGACAGTCTGCTGAAGGCAGCTAAGAACCATTAAATGTGATTCCTACAGTTACTTTTTTTATTTCAACAATTGCTTAGTCACCGCAGAGATTTTTATGTGATTGCTGACTGGGAGGGGAGAGGTGTTAACAAGGCAGCCTCACCAGATGTGGTCCACATAAAGGGAGAACCATGGGGTTCTGTATCCTATTTTGTATCCCTAGTTGTGATTCTGGATGCATGCGTTTCCCCTAGGGAAGACAACCATAGCTGACTGCGAAAGAGCAGCTGAAGGTGGGGGCTTTGTTTATTTTTAATGGGCAAGGGAAATGTAAGGATAAGAAAGCAGCTATTCTTAAAGATTTGTTTTTATCCTAGTACTAAATGAAGAGATGATATTTCAGCAGGTTCTGGTGTGAAGAAATGCCCTCTCCCTAATGAGCACCACAGTGGGAATGGAGGATGAGTTTCACTGTGGCTCTCCCCAGTGTTGCAGGACTGGGAGACTTTAGTCTCTCAGTGCCTGAAGTCTCTCCTGTAAGTTAAAGAAAAGGCTAAGAACGACTGCCCTAACAGAAAAGGGGATCATCCGAAGCCACCAGGGGAGAAGAGCTGGTGATTATGGAAGCTGTGAGTAAAGCTGAGATGAAAACTGTTGCTAGGCTAGCAGCTCAGCCTAGCTCAGCTCAGCAAGGCAGGTAAGTGTGTGGTAGCATCTACTMCAGCATCACACTGCATTTTGTGTGTGCGGGGCCAGGTGCCACCTCTTCCACTAGCGTCAGTGCTCTTCAGTCGAGCTGTGCAGGTGCCTCCCCTGGGAAAAYTGTTTCATGCTGGAATTCACACAGTAGCTGCGGGGACAGCCCTGCTCAGGCAGCCTCAGCTTCAGGCTGGAGCCTTCTCCTAGTCCCGTCACTCCTGGCTGGGCCAGGGGYTCACTCCGACTGAGGCAACTGCGGAACTCGCCGCCGGCCTCAGCAGTGCTCCTGGCGGGAGGCTGCTCCCTCCACATCCGCCAGCAAAACGGGACGTAAGCCCTTATCTTGGCCTGCTCAGGGTGGATGCGCATCCCCAGCCCACGYCTGTGACGCAGGGCACAGGACGCTGCACTGCGGGGGCTGAGGCTCGAGCTTCCCGAGGGAGCAGTAACCTGTGGCGTGGGAAGGGCAGCCCGTCCCAAGGACTCCTCACACCCGCCCCGGCAGCCTGGGTGGCTCCTGGGCCCTGTGCGAGCCGCCGAGAGCCCCTGCAGCGGGGGGCAAGGCTACCACCTTGAGCCCTCCTCCAGGATGAACAGCATCGAGTCAACAGAGCGACGCTCAACCGTCTCCCAGAAGCTCTTCAGCACCGGGCAGCTTGGCAAATCGTGCACCTGGAGGAAGAGGAGACAACGCAACAACAGGTAGCCGAGCCTGAGGATGGACGTGTGACCCTCCACAGGAGGCAGCCGCTCCTGGCACAACGTTCATACGAGAGCGTGCACCCCTTGCAGGGTTTTTAAACATACAGATTTTCTCCATGTACCAAGATGACGGATGTTTGTTCTCGAGTCTACACTTACATGTAAAAAGAGTATAACAGGCCTTCAACTATTCAACGTACAGGCCAACAGGTCTAATGACCATTAGCTCCAGCAACACTGGGTTATTAAGTGCTGTACAGATATCCAACTCCCTTCCAGTAGAGCAAGAAGTGTGGCTCAGGGACAGTATGCTACAACCAGGAGGAGATGACCTTTGGTAGATGCTAACTGCCAGAAAAGAAGAATGCAACTTGTAACGAGGTACAAGGCCCACCTGCCCTCTGCTCGGCTTGCTACTGTTGAAAGAGCCACCGGATTTTAAGATAAGGGCATAAATGTGGGAGATGAGTCTGGAGCCACTCTCGAGCACTCCTGACATTGCAGTCGTCCTTAYGGAGGTTACACTGTTTCTATAGGCCTGCAGCACTGCACGGCAGGGTATGGGGCCCCCCACTGGCATCAATGGGTTTTGGTGCCTTTGTGGCTTCTCCACACGGATAGGAATATCCGTGACTGTGCAGCAGACAGGCCCCAGCTCACCTGCTCGGCGAGAATGTTATCCAGGAGATTAAAAAAATCAATGGACTTATCACCATCAATACCCATCTGCTCCTTAATTGTTTTCAGGTCATCAGAGATACCTGGTTGTAGCTGAGAGTTCTTCAACTTCTCCCTGTTGGGGGATTAAGAAAGAAAATGGCAATACTTGGGGATGGTGTTTGCAAAGTGAAGCACCTAGAGACTCACTTGTGACAAGTTCACCTYGCCCTTTGTTAGAATCCACCTGTCCCTTCATGCTCTTTTAAACCTCACTTTATAACATTCAGCTGCTGTTGAGCTGAGAATATCAGTGCTGGCCAGGAACTTCAGATATCATGCATGGCTTCTGTTTTCTTTGGCCCTGCTTTTTTAGGGAGTGAGCAGAAGTTGTATGGTTCGGATGTTTAGTTTTTTAATGGAATATGGGGGTTTATTTTCTAAATTGAAGATGTGACAAGGTTTGGCAAGGATAGTCTTTACCTGGGACAGTACTTTTTACTGCACCTTAAAAAATACCTTGACACAGTTGCAAAATGTCCACAGTTGGTAGGCTGGGGTGGGTGTGGGGACAAAKTTTATTCTCTTTTTGCACAGTTCATGTTTCTAGCGGAGTCTGAATATATTTGGGCCTTTCCTGAGCTGCTTCCTAAAGCTACCAGCTTACCACAGTGAAGTTTTTGCAAATGACTTCTGATAACTCTTGGAAAACTTTGCACAAAGATATGCTGGTGTACAATGCAGCAAACCTGTGGCACACTTGTCGCTGCTCTGCAATTTCCATGGCCTGCTCCCCCTACCTAACCTGGCTTAGGCCTGGGCTTTCTGTACTGGTACTCCACTGTGCCAACTTGCGTGTTCTTTTTATGTAGTGGATTTCTTATTTTCCTCAACTAGTCTTTGTTGGGGCTTTTAAATGTGTCAAAGCTGAGTATATTCCCTTTTTTTTTGAAGGTGTAAATTTGACAGAAAAGTTGTAACAACACCCAAACCAGACAAATGCCCTCCCCTGACTCCATTTCTCCCCCCTCTCTACCTAGACAAATATATAAGCACTTTTGAGTGTCTCTTCATAGACTGCATAGTATTTGACTCGTCTCACCTACCACTTTAAACAACAACTAGCTAACCGTTCCCAGAGAGCAGTAACTGGCAGGGGAAGCAACTGGGAAACGGGAAGCAAACCATGGGAAGCAAAGTGCTGTTTTAAATCGCTAGCACTGCGGTGAGAGCGCAGCAGGGCAGGCAGGGCTGGCAAGTACCTGCTCAGGCACTTCAGGCGCTGGCAGTTCTGGTAATTGGGGTAGAGGAATTCGGAGCTTGCTTCGTCGGTGACGATGACGACAGGTCCTGCGGAGCGAGAAGGAAGGAAGGAAGGAAGGGTCTATGGCCCTCGAAGGAACCGCCCGTCTCCAGGTGCTTTAATCGCTCCCTCAGGACCAAATTTGGATTTTCTTGTGCACAGCAGCTCCCCCCAGAGCTCTGTTGCACTAAATGAAACAGCCTGATCTGTGGCTTTGGCCCAAGTTTGCTACTGTTAACTGGCAATCCTCACTGAGCTACCCGCCTCAACCCAATCCCCCAGGCTTGTTTCTGTCTGTGTAGCCTTCATTTCCAGGGGGCTGTTGGTTAAGTGTTAACTTCTCCTAGCTGTGTGTAGTGAAAAGCAGTTTCTGTGTTGGGAGGAGTCATAATCCCTGGCRAGTCACTTTGGCTTTTGTTCCTAGACTTGAATACATGGGGAACAGAGATGAGTTATTCATACRGCATGTTACAGAACGTATGAATATTTGTCAGCTACAGGTCACACTGAAAGTTTCTCCAGGTGCCAGACTTGTGAAGGATCCTGGGACTCCTACAGATGAGGTGCCTGGGTTTTGCTAGAAGCTTTTTCCCAGATGCAACAGTGCATCTTGCAAACAGTGAACCTGGAAGTCTTTGCTGAAGCTGGTGAACGCTAACCTCCTCAGTTGGTCTGAAACTGCAGCACTGATGGCAACAGATCCAAGCTGGGCACCAGCAGATTGCTACATAAAGAGAGGGAGCAAGTGACAAGCTGATAAAGGATATACAGAACAGCAGGTCATAGGAAGAGGGGTGGGAGCCAAGAACAAAGGAAGAAGCAACAACCAGGAGCCAAGGGGAACTGCCATGTGAGATATGGGCATCTAGGGAAGGCTGAGAAAGCAAAGGCATCACTTGGAGGTCTCCCCTAACCTTCTTTCTGCTGTTGGTACAGTCCAGCTAGCAGGCACCGCGTGGACTCCAGATTCCGGAAAATATTAGTGGAACGGACGCTGAAAGAGAGGAAGCAGCTTGTGAGGCAGCACCTTCTCCTTGCTGTGCACAGRGCTGCAGCTGGTGAGGACTTACTGCAACGGAGGGTTCTGCCTTCTCTGTGGCTGCASAAACCTCTGAGAGGATTCATCTCACCTCACTATGGAAGTCTTAAGAAAACAGACACTCGTGTCTGACTTGCCTTTTAGCTTCCCTTCAGAGAGAGTGGAGATGACAAATGGGCACTTGTTAGCTGTGATTTATCTCATCCAAAGCCAGACGCTTCCAGCACTACTGATGTGAGCAGCAAGGATGTTCTTCATCTCACTGACCTTTGGCTGCTTACCCCACAGTGAGTTAAGCTGTGCTCAAGAAACACCTATTGCTCATCACTCACCATAAAGGCAGTTTACCTAACACCACTGTCGATGGCTAAACCSAGGCAAGATGGATGCGTCCCCGAGGTGCTCTCGGCACTGCTGCAAAACTAGGCACCTTGTACCTGGGACGAGGTCCCATACTGGGTTCTGCAGCCTGAAGCAGGAGGGAGGGCACAGGGGTGGCTGGGTGGGAGAGCTGGGGCAGGCTGTGTGGAAAGACCCTAACACTGGAGCACCGTGAGAGGGGAGGACACAGGGAGAGGTCCAGAGAGGCACTGACACTCACAAGACCTCGGCAGGCTTAAATGTGGGTGAGAGGAAGTTGGTTTCTTCCACGTAGTGTCTCCTCAGCCTTTGCCCCAGGGCAAACATCTGCTGCATCCCCACTGTGGTCAGCTGTCCTGCAATTGCACCACCCTGAACAGAGAGAAGGGAGGAGACCCGTTTCAAACACGGGAATAAGCAGGGCTTCTCTGGGAACAACACGACGGAACCAGGCACGGGAACCTCACCTTAAATATCGTCTTTTTGTATTGCTCATCGTAGGGCGAGGGAGGTCGCGGGTTTCCGCTGAGGTCRGTCACCGTGTAATCAAACTTTGTCTGAGCAGGGATATCTAGGAGAGCGGGGCGCCACTCCACCTGTTCCAAAGCAAACCAACAGCGCTGCAGCAGAAAGCAAGCACCAAGAGCACCAGGGCGGCCCCGTCAGGAGGTGCTGCCTCGGAGGCAACGCAACGCGCAGTCCGACAGAACCACGACAAGCGGAGCAGCCGTCGCTGCTACTTGTCACACACGGCAAGGTTTCTTTAAGCTAATACCTGGCACCGCTAGGCGGGAGCACAAGGGGCTGCCCTGTCGCGGGCCGGGAGCAGGGTGGCAGCGCGAGGACAGGTGAGCGAGTGCCCGGCTGTGGGGCGGCTGTGGGGCAGCAGTGGGGCACAGGGCTGCCTGTGGCTGTGAGCTGCGCCTGCAGCTTTTGCCCTCGCAGGTGCCCCGGCTTCCCTAGCCGGGGGGCTCCCTGCAAAGCGCGTCACACAGCTCRGCCTTCCCGCTGTTGTCCGTCCGCACATCCAATAATGCGTGGTAAGRCTGAGCTAAAGTGAATCCATTTTATCTTCCATGTTCTCACGTTTCCTCCAGATCTACTATTGACAATCTCTTTGCAGGGGGGAGGAAAAAAAAAGTTTCTGCAGTGAGGGAGCAAAGCACCGCGGTACTTTGGCCAAGCAGGCTTTCCTCTGAGCTGCAAACACGAGTCAGCAGAAACCTAAAGCCAGTGTTAGCACAACTACACAAGTAACCTCGCCATAAAGAGAGCGTGAATCCTGTCAGCTCAGGGACCAGCAACAGCAGCCTGCGGGTACTCAGCCCACTGCAAAYACTGCACTCGAGAGCGGCTTTAGCTTTCACTGCATCTTTTCCATGTTGTTGAGGCCCTGCACTCCAGTCCCCTCGCAGGCTCGCGGCTCTGCACGTGTGCTACTTGCACAAGAAGCACGAGAGCTGTATTTTCCCTTGTGAAACAAGCCGGAGCCTCGGTTCCGGACTGTGCTCCGTGTCCTTTGGGGCATCCCGCAGGCGCCCCGCACCGGGGCAGCACCTGCCTAACCCAGGGCGAGCGCCGGTGGAAACAGCCCCGGGAACGGCCTCGGCGCGCTGCAGCCTTCCCCAAGCCCACGGCTGGCAGCCCGCGGCGGCGAAACTGCCCGGGCGCTCTCAGTGACGCGATATATATATAGGTATAAACTTATAGGCATTCACATTCGGGTCGGAACCGAGCGGCGGGCGGCCCGCCCGCGGCCCCTTCACTCGTCCCGGTCCCGGTCCCGGTCCCGGTCGCGGTCCCGGTCGCGGTCCCGGTCGCGGTCGCTCACCGGCGGCGCCCCCGGGACGGGCCGCAGCGGGGTGCGCGCCCCGTGCCGGAACACCACCTGCACCAGCTTCAGGTCCAGCTCCCGCTGCCCGCCCGCCGCCGCCGCGCGCCGCCGCTGCGCCCAGGCTGCCAGCGCGCCCAGCAGCGCCACGCGCCTCCCCCAGCCCATGGCGGCGGCCGCGGTGCCGCCGGCCCGCAGCGCAGCGCAGCGCAGCCCACACCGGCCCGGCCCGCGCGGCGCCCCGCGGGAAACGGAGTCCCCCACCCGCCCCGCGAGCGGAGCGCGCGCCGCGGCGGGACTACAACTCCCAGCGGGCACCGCGCGCACCGCTGTGCGCATGCGCGGGGGGCGGCCGTTGGCCGTTAACGGCCGCCGCGGGGCGGGGCGTGCGCCTGGTGGYTTCGGCTTCTAACCCTCCCCGCCGCGGGAGCGTTGCTGTTGCGGTTGGGTCTCTGTAGCGGAGAGGCGGGCGAAGCTGCCAGCTCCACAACAGCCCTGCCTGCTGCTACCTGCCGCCTCTGTCTCTCTTTCTCTCTCCTATTTTTATTTTTTTTCTCACCTTCTTCCCCACCCCTTGTGCTTACCGTGAGCTCAGCCATCTTCAAAGTGAAAAGCTGCAGAGTCCCAGGAAGSAGACATCTTCCTGTGCTTTATTTTTATTTTGATCTTTTCACGCTTAGCACTGAGAATATAATGCGTTTAGATAGGAAAGCCTGTGCTAGTGCTTATCAGTGCATTGAATTTAGTATCGTGACAGCTGGGTTAGCGAAGGTTGGAGGAAAGAATTCATGGTGAAGAGAGAGGGGGCTGCCAATAATTCCTCTCAGTTGGGCTCATAGCGCCCTCCTCTTAACAGCAGTGAGTTTGGAGGGCAGTTGGGGAAGGGGAGGACATCACATTCAGTTAAGTCTCTTGGGGAACAGTCACAATATACAGAATCTACTGTATACAATATCTACACAATACACAGCATACAATACTTTGGTCTTTAATCTGTCCATACGGGCCTAGCATGAGCAGCAGGAGACGTTTCCCTCTCATCATTTCCTCCAGTCCGTGTTTTAATGGGAATGTTTCACCGAGAGAATGGCTCTGCTCTTTGGCACCGCAGCCTTTTCCTTTCCTTGTCTCTTCTCCGTCAATCCCTTAACCTTACCGTGCTGCTGGCGCTAAATGAGGTGGTGGCAGGGCTTTTTGTTGGGAGGATTTTCAGTCGGGAATCTTTCCCGCTGTGCATTTGCTAAACAAGTTGTTTTGTTTGCTTTTTAATTTGGGTGCCCGGCTGCGGCCCCTCTGGRAAGGCAGTGGATGGGCTCAGCCCCTTCTTGCCTGGCCCTCCTTCCCACCACGGCTTTGGGAGCTGGGGCAGCGCTTGGCAGCACCGGAGCTGCGGAGAAGGAGCCACCAGCGCAGCCGCAGGGCGGGAGAGCAGGATGCCTGGGCTCCATTGGGGTGGGAGTGAGGCAGGGCTCCATCGCATGAGCTGGAGCCGAGCACAGCCTGACGTGCTCCGCAGGGACTCGCCACTGTCCTTAGCACTGGAGCTGCCTCTAGGCATCCGCTGGCAGCACTTGGCAAAGCTGCTCGAGGGAGGGTTTGAACACACAGCCTCCAGGTGCATGTTCCCCTGCTCGTTTCTTCAGGCACTGCCTCTCTGTTCTTTTCAGTGATTTGCGATGCTCGTGTGTGTGTACGGATTAACTCTTCAATGCTATTTTGTATTTTTTTAGCATAGTAGCTAATAACTTTGAGAAAGCTAAAGGGCTCTACCTTCATAGAGCCTTCCTTGAACTTCAGCAAGCATCCAACATGATGCTGTCTCCTTGATTCCTATAACTCTTGTTCAGGACTCGGTGGGAATGTCACTCCTGCATAGGTAATTTTTTTTTTTTCTTTTTTTAACCAGAGGATAAACCCTTTTCTTTAAATCAATTCTCTCATACTTGTTCTTATTGGGGATTCCTGCATCCTCCGTTCCATCCTACCGCCTTATTTATACTGTGAGTCACAGTATTTTTTCCTCTAGCTTTTCCTCTCTTCCTTTCATCTTGACTATGGCCAATTTCTCTTTCTTTCTGCACTCTTCTTCCTCATGTTGAGGGTTTTTTTGTGGCACCTTTTCTTGGTTACCTTTATCTTCCCCACCTATTCTCCTGCTCTCCCCACCATCATTTGGTTTCTCTTCAATCTTTGAAGATGCTGTCAGTCTCTCCAAGGAGATCAGGAGTAGCTTGACAGGAATTTGGGGTGTTCATGGAGCTTATCAATCAGTTCTCTAACCCATGGACAATTGCAGGTCTGATTGAAGCTGTATTTGCTGCCCCATTCTTCATGATTTTCTCCTTCTGAAGTGGGCTCTGTCTAGTAGGAGCTGGACGCTCCCTGGAGTCCTGGAGCTGGCGGGATGTGGTAGATTTGAAGGCTATCACAACARAGAAATGTGGTGGAGACTAGGCCAAAGAGTGTGTTTTCAGTAAAGCAGGTCTTCAGGAAACCTGCCAAGCAGAGACTGCTTCAGTGAGATATCTGCGTCTTTGGGGCTTCATAAAGTGCCTGTGCTTTGTTACAGGGATGCAGGATTTCCCTCTGTGCTTCATTGTTGCCCTAGTCCAGCGCATTCCTTCCTCAGGGAAGAGCCCCCTCTCAGACCCTCTGCTTCCCCTCTCTTGGAGGTGTGTGGGGCGCTCTGMGTTTCCTGGTGTGTGTGTTTCCTTTGTCCTCTTGCCCTGCAGAGAGTCAATACACGGGAAGGCCTTGCCCAGCAGTTAAAGGTCCAGGCTGATATCGTGGGTGCTGACCCAGGAGCAGCAGCGCCCGTGCTTGGCCCCGCTGGCTGCACGAGCTGATCTCGCAGCAGCGGGTGCTGCCAGGCCTGCCCCTGCTGCCTGTTGTTGCCAGCTGGGCCTGGCAGGAGGAGAGGATCTAGGGTGTCTCCTGCCCCAGTTGCTTCTCCCTGGGTCCCAGCCATCATGCTTTCCGTTTTCCCCAGTGCCAGCAATTAAAGAAAACGTGGGAAGAGAGACAAGACTGTTTCCCAGGAGAGTGCCACAGAAAGGAGGAGAAGGCCCATGAAGTACATGCATGGTACAGGTGCCAAGCTGGTAGGCTGGAAATGGGAAAAAAAAAACCCACCATGGGCTTAATGAGACTGCTTCTCAATGTCCATATGGGCATTTGACCCAGAATTTCCTGCTCCCCAGTTCTCACGGATGCCTGCTGGAAACTCATACTTGATCCCCATCGCCACAATGTCTCATTGCTTGTCAAACTCTAAAGGCAAGAATTGCCAAGCCACCCCGGGGGACAAATGCCGTGCTACAGATGTCAACCTGAGACAAAGAGAGACTAAAGATTTGCCTTGAGTTAGTTCCTGGGTACAGGACCCAGTCCCTCGAGCATCAGTTCGGAGGACACCTTTATCAGTCTCTCGCAGGAGTAGCTCCTGGTGTTGATTGAAGCTGAGCTCGCTCGTGGGAGGCTGGATGGAGAGGCTGGAGCAGGCAGCACCCGTGGAGTCACGCAGGGAGCAGGGCAGGGGTGAGGGAGCAGGAGGGGAGCGAGCGCAGCGGCYGTGGGGAGGAGCAGCTGCCTGCACGCTCACCAGGATGGCACTCCACGTGCGAGGTGGGGCTGGGCAATCACAGCAGCATCTCTCAAAACAAGGCTGCTCCAAGAGGGCTTCCTTCGTTTGGGAGCCTAGTGTGGGATACAGAGAGGCATGACGAGCAGAGGGAGTTAAGAGAAGGGATCGACTGCTGCAGAAGCCGGGAAAATAATGAACGGGAAGAAATCAAGCCTAAACCTTGTGATAGAGGAGGTCACGGTGGCAAAGATGCTGGGTGGAGAGAAGGAATTGCAAAATGTAGTCAGGGGGTGGGGATTAGGGGGAAAGGAGGAAGGAGAGACCCTGTAGTACAAATGAGGTGAAACAAAGAAAGAAACCTACAGTGAATTTATTTGGATTTCCATTCCAGTGTCGTCTTGGTCGAAACCCGAGCTCTTGTGATGTTGTGCGGGCTGGGACGGCAGCCTTGTTCCTGGGGGGGATCTGGCTGCTGCCAGGCAGCCTTGCTGGAGAGGTATATTTTAGAATATACCCTGCCGCAGCAGGTGTGTGCAATTAGAGGAGCACGCTCCGAAATAGCAGGCGGCTGTCAGGTTTTTTAGCAAATGGTGTTACCCTTTTTTCCTTTGTCCAACTGTGCAGAAATTTATTCTCAGATGCATCATCTTTACAGAACCGCTTTCAAAAGACCTGTTATTTTTACCCTTCTGTTGCTTTCCGCGAGCAGATAGGGAGCAGAAGGCTATTTCCGTGGCCGCTGTGGGAGAGCTTTGTCTCGCTGGGGGAAGCTAATGAACTCTAATGAGCAAGCGAGTTTCAGGCAGCCTCACCCTCCGACAGCAGAGTCCAGGTTTCCTCCTGACTGCAGCTGAATCAAATTACCGTGATTGCTGCCTTTGCAAAGCACTGTTATTGCTATCAGCACCTCCGAAGGCTCCTATATGATAACTTTGCATTTCGATCCTTGCTTTCTTGGAAAGGAAACTGAGTCATGATGAGTTGCATAGTTCATCCAAGCCAGGCAATAGCTGCGTGGCTGATGTTTTGGTTTTGTGGGCTGATGTTTGCTTTGAGTACAAGGCTGGCTGTCACGATTAGAKTTTTGTTCCATAAAGTGTTTTGCAGTTAAATAGTCATTAAAAAATACCCACCAAAAACAGTTTAGCCCGGCGTGTTCCTGTGTTTTATTGCTTCTTGGATTCGGAGAATTCCTTCCCCCTGAACAAACGGCTGTAACTGTTTGTGATGTAAATCGGAGACACCAGAACTTGTCTGAATGGTAGAGGCACAAATAGAATTTAGGTGGTTATTTTTTTCTCAACAGTAAATAGATGGGCAGAAAATAGATTTACAAACGCTGTGGTTTCCTTGGTTCCTCTCCAAGTGCTTTTTGCTCGGTGAGGGCAGCGAGCTGGGCACGTGCTCCGGCAGCCCTAGGGAAGCGCAGGTTTTAGCGGCGCGGGGACCTTGGCAGCGAAGCCGGCTGCCGACGAGGGGGTGACACAATGGGGCTGCTGTTGCGGCCCAAAGCGAAGCAGGGGCAGCAGGGGCAGAGCGAGGTGCCTCCCTCTCCCTGTGCTGTGGCGCACGTGCCCATTCAGGT